CGTCCACTTGTCCAGCTAAGCGTTGAGGGTGGGGATAAGGTTGTCCCACGAGTTGTCGAGCACCGAGATAATCTTGGTGCACTGCTGCATCTCCGACACCTTGCTGCCCGCCACTGCCATCCTCGCATAGGTGTCCTTGACCTTGTCAAGCCCCGGCTTCACATCGTCTCCCGGCCGCATGGAGAGGGCAGCCATCTCCTTCTCTAATACGATCACCATCGGCAGCGTGTTGGGCTGAACCACGTCGCGTAGCAGCTTCCACGCCTTTGGTCCCGAGTCATCGAGCTCCACCAAATCCTTGACGTGCTGGAACATGTCGTTGTTGACCGACTGTAGAATCAAGTCGTACAGCACCGCGCTTTTCTCAATCCATCGATCGCGGGCATCTCCTTCCTCCGGCATCTTCTCTTCTCCCATCGCGAGTTTCAACAGCTTATAGCGCTTGAAGGCGCTCCGCATCCGCCCGCTCCATTCTTCATAATTGGAGCCATCCAAAGCTTCGATCTTGGATGGTGGCGGTTCACTCTTCTTGTCAGCTACTTCTGCACTCCCTTGACTCATCTCCTCTGCTCCCAATCACAAATTTCAGCTCCCCCCTTGCTGTCCACACTGAAGTCCCACAATATTTTCACAAGTGTCGGCGTCAACGAAGTTTCGGCAGAGTTTCCCCTTAGCGGAAGTCACATCCAACCTCCAGAACTCCACTTAGGCACGCCCACAGGTCATGGTGGGTCTATGGTGGTCTTCACACTTCAGTAGACTCTCCACAAAGTCCTTAATCAGCTCTGATACCACTTGTTATAGACTAAGGACGGAGTCTATGAAGATTAGGAGCCGAAATATCACAAAATCGTTGGTCTCAATTTCTGGACAGAAAAGTCGCGCTCACAAGAAACGCCGTCGACAAAAAGTGCACAGTTAAAACTTCACCAAACTTAGACATGATGTAGCCCTAGTCTGTGGCTACAATTCCCAATTAGAATCGTATGATAAGGTGAAGTATTTCTTGAGTTATAATTTTCGGCGCACTAGGGGGTAAGCTGCCATAGAAACTTAACTCAATCACAATTGTCTAACAATTTCACACAAGAGAATAGAGTACCATTCAACCAGGTAGGAGGGAAGAGGACAAGAGGGAAGGTACCCAAGGAGTCCCCAACCAAGGAAACCCCATTAGCACACCAAATCCCTTCCCTATAGGAGCCCCACTTTTACTTTTGTCACATTCCAACCCATGCCATCCACCTTGCCCAACTTGGCCACACTTGCCAACCTGGTTCGGCACCTCCCAACCACTTGGCAGCATCTACAGTGATGTTGACAGATTTCCCAACCCCCAAAAGTCTATACTCCTTATGGAGTCAACACCACAACTTCCCCTAGTCACCACAACCAAATATCAAAAGCACACAAACTTCCAACGTACGTAACTTTCTTGTTCGTGCTCCGGTTGAAGCAATACTTGGTTCCTCGGAAAGCTCTTCAGCAGAGGAGTCACTTCAGATATCTGCTCAAGCCAAATAACATTTACATAAACTCAGAAAAACCAAACCGCACAAAACACAAATTCTTGCATACGCTCCCACCACGCATGCAACGCACGAACACATCATGGGAGGCAGACAGACGTGAATGCATATGATTGCATCACACAACAAGAACGAGATCCCACATCGCGTTTCTTGGACATGCTGGAAGACCAGTTCGTGGCGCAGACTCCCAAGCGGGTGACGGAGTTCCGAGACTTTCAACGTAGGACAAGAGAGTCCCTGCTGGCGTACTACGGCAGATTGGTGGAGCTAGCCGAAGACATGAGCTGCCACGATACGGGGCGACTGGTCCACAAGTTCTTGAGTGGGCTGCACTACGACCTACGACGGGAGATGGCGGTTCGCGTCTTTGATATAGGGGCACGAGCGACACTGAAGGAAGTGTACGAGGTGGTAAAGCAGGTGGAGACGGGTCGACGGCTATATGAGATTGATGCGACAACAGACAGGGGCGGAGAACGAAGAAGGTCGGCCTGGGTGGCGATTCCGGCTGATCGAGAAAGGCCCCCCCGCAGGGCAGGCGACGAGCGGTGTTGTCACAACTACGGTCAGCCCGGGCATCTGCGAAGGGATTGCCGCAACCCTCCGGCATGCTTCATCTGCGGAAGTGGGGAACACATGAGGCGAGATTGCCCGAATGCACCGGTGTGCAAGCGCTGCGGAAGGAAGGGACATCATGAGAAGGACTGCTACGCGACCGGGAGGGAAGAATGCGCAAAAAGGAATGCAGAGGGAGTGAAAGCGCAGATCGCACGTTTGCAACTCCAGCTGGAGGAATTGGAGGGGTGAGAGACAAAGGGAACGGCGATGCTGGCTAAGTCAGAGGAGGAGGATGACGAAGGGAGTGAGGCCAGCTTCGCCCTGATGGTGCGCCCAGTATGGAAGAGAGGTGACCTGGGGTTACGAGCTCGGCACCGGTACTTCCAACAGGAGCCGCCAATACAAGAGCGAGGTCCGAGGCGAGATACTTCAGAGGCGCGAACTCCAGGGGCGGCGCGACGACATCCCTCGGAGAGAATGGCATGCCAGCCATCAGTTCTGGTGGTGGAGCAGGAAGTGATGACGGTGGGCGGTGTCAAAGTAAAACAATCAATATTGGATACGGGCGCTCACAATATGTTGATCGGGGCACCCATGGCGAGGCTGCTGAGCTTGGATCGGGAAGACCGACTAATACAGGAAGGCTACCTGCTCATGACCGCTGAAGGGGGAATGGCTAAATGGATGCCAAGAACTCGCAGCACCATGGAAATAGTGATTCGGCCCGGACACAAGGATGAGTGCGTAGTGCGGATGTTTTGCGGGGTGTCAACATTTGAAGACTACGACCTACTGCTGAGAATGGAGTATCTGTTCGTGATCGGCACGACTATCTGCATGTGGGGATGCAAGAAGCGCCCAGTTTTGGGACCTGGTATGAGTGTTGAAGATGATCAAGAAACGGCAAGGGGAAGTGGCATATATCATGGAGAACGTGGACATGGCGGATGACCCACGGCCAGCGGTGCAAGCGGCCAACGAGGAGATCACCGAGGAGCTGGGGGCAGGAGTGGCATGGGATGCCGCGCAAAATGGGAGCAGGGCTCACAGGCCGACGCGGTATTGGCAAAACGAGATACCCGAGGCTGCGCTGCGATACCAACTGTCGCGGATGGAGAGACCAAGGGCAAGGCTCGTGGAAGACATCCTGGAACCAGGAAGGCTGACAGCACCTATCACCGAGAAAGACCACCGCACGCAGTATCCGTGCAACAGGGTTGGAGAGCCAAGGCAGGCCTGGCCGACACTGGTGGCGCATGAGAATTCCAGAGGATTCAAGGAAGTTGGAGGAGTAGTAGGCCCCGTCCCAAACTTCAGCATGCTGCTGCGCGGGTTCTACTTGGACGACACGGAGAACGCGGCGCTCATTGTGGACGGCAAGGCCGTGCACACGTAGATCAAGGATCTCGGCATCATCAGGTTCGCCAACGGCGCCGACCACAAGTTGCGGCTAGCCGCGCGCTCTGGCAAGGAGCAGGAGCGCGGTGATGGGTTCATGAAGACGATCGAGATCGACGGCGAGGAGATCCCGAGGATGAACGTGGGTGACGATGTGACTACCGAGGGCGGTCTCACTCTGCGGTTCGCAGCTCTGGAGAAGGAGGGCCCGTATGAGGTGGACTACTACACGCTCGCGATCGACGGGCTCGTGACGCTCGACCTGGCCTGCGCGTCGCCAACCCCAAGCTGCAAACGCCCAGCGAGGCCGAGGCGCACATCAACGTGGGGATTGTGGAGCTGGAGCACACCGACGACGTGCACGGCGTGCTCGGCCAGACGTACCGCCTCGACCACGCGGCACGCGCTGCGGATTTCCAGCGGCTGATCGCGAACCTGCACCGTCCGATCTCGGCCGACAGCCAGGAGGGCGCTGGGTTCCTGGACGGCACTCCCCGGCTGTAGGAGTTGAGCTCCGTGCTGTCCGTGGACTGCGCGCAAACCGAGTACCACCGCGCCAAGCAGCTCAGCCCCGTCGAGGAGTTCCCCATGGAGCCCCTCAACTAGACGCGCGCACCCTCCTAGAAAAATCGGTGGTCTTTGATTTGGTGGGCTGAGCGGCTGAGCCCCGTCGAGGAGTTTCCCAGGGAGCCCCTCAACTAGATTAGAACCTAGTTACCTCCTTAGTTACCTTGGTGGGCTGTGACTTGGTGGGCTGATTTTATAGAGCTTCCCTTGTATACTAGGTATCGAATTCGATACTTCTGTACATTGATATATTATGAAACTCTTGGACGCTTAATCACATTTGCGTTGGCACCTCTGTTACCCTTTTACCAAACCGGAGGGCCAAGAAGGCCCAAATTGTCTCAACCTTCCTAACCTTTGTTGAGTTCGGCCTATCGTGTTGCTCGCTCCAACCAAGCTTCCTAAGGTTGAAGTTCTTGGCCCACGGGTTTTATCTGGTCTCTTGCCCGACAAAGACAGTACTGGTGACTATGTCTTGCAGGAAGGTGCTGTGACAGATGCTACTGCTGGGCATCACAGTCCATTTCAACCGTGCCCTCACATCCTCCTGAAGCTCCTTTGCAGTGAATTCTCTTCCCAGCTTACCGATATCAGACATGTCAGAACGTTTGTACTCCAAATGCTGCAGCAGCTGCGAGCTTTGTTGCTGGTCAAGGAGCCAGGGGCGCCAACCACAAGGTGTGGCTGGATGGGGTCCTGTGGTCAGGCCCCCACCCCAAGGTGTGGCTGGATGGGATGCTGTGGTCAGGCCCCCACCCCGGAAATCAGCGAAAAACAATGGTTTACAGCTTTACGGTACCGTAGAATTCGCAATAGCAACTGCATTTGAGCTTGAAGTGGTACTGAGACCTCTAAAATATCTGCACAAGTTCTGCTAGCTAGAACAACACAGGCATTTGTTGTACACCCTCTTGTGCAAGAATAGCCTACACCTATGGGCTACAGTTAGCTGGCTGCATCGGCCTTGGCTGCTGCCTTAGCTCCTCCTTTGGCTCCTGCTTTTGCCCCTCTAGCCGCTGCAGGTTTTTGTGGGGCCTGGTTTCGCGAGATGGGCTGAGCGTTACGCTGTAACCACTGCAGGGGTGCCCCTGATAGCAAAGGGGAGACCTGGAGTCGATGGGGCCAGGGAAAAATTGGAGGTGATGAGGTGAGTTGAGGCGCCTGATCACCACAGCAGTGCACGGGAGCTTCTGATGGATGTGGTTGCCACACTGAGGTAGATGCATACTGCTTGGTTGGGTGAGGTGATTCAAGCTGCTGTGCGCTCACCTCACTCCCACTCAGTGCCCCACCCACACTCAGTGTTCTACACTCGGTGTGCCACCCACACACACAGCACCCCACACTCCCAGCATCCCACACTCACAGTGTCCCACACGCGCTGGTGATAGTCGTTAATCCACTTCACCTCTGCGCTGCTCAGCAGCTCCACACTCACTAGCTTCGTCTGCAGCCATGGGAAGGGGAGGGGGGAGGGGGGTGAAGGGAGCATGTGAGTCGACTTGATAGTCGTTAATCCACTTGACCTCTGCCTCGCTCAGCAGCTCCACACTCACTAGCTTTTTCTGAGGCCGTGGGGATGGGGTGGGATGAAACGGGAGGGATGAAACAGGAGGGATGAAACGGGGAGGGATGAAACAGGAGGGATGAAACGGGGAGGGATGAAACGGGAGGGATGAAACGGGAGGGATGAAATGGGAGGGATGAAACGGGAGGGATGAAATGGGAGGGATGAAACGGGAGGGATGAAATGGGAGGGATGAAACGGGAGGGATGAAATGGGAGGGATGAAACGGGAGGGATGAAGAGGGTATGTACGTGATGTGTAACCTGGCTGCTATGACCGTTCAGAGCCAGCTGGTGCATCAGCTTTTGAGTTTTGAGGCGCCTCACGTTTTGTGAGGTGGTTGGGAAGACCAATTCCATGTCATCACGACTCAGATGCGCGGCAATCAAATGGACCGCACTCAACTGCCAGATAATTAAAAAAAAAAAGGAACCTAAACTCCAAATTACGGAACCAGATAGGAGAGGGGAAGGTAGAGGGAGGAGGAAGAGAGGTACCTGGATTGGAAAGAGCGTGAGGCACTCGAATCCCAGATACGTTGTTTGAGGCGCCTCAAAAATCGTCCAGTTAGAAGAGGAACAAGGACACGAGATGCAGGGGGAATGAGAGGTACCTGGATTGGAAAGAGCGTGAGGCACTCGAATCCCAGATACGTTGTGCCATCAAATCGACACTGCGTCTGCTGCTCCCTCACCACAAGAAGGTTCTGGGAAGGTGGAGAGATAGGGCGGGGCGGAAGGAAAATGAGGAAGTGGGATGTGTGGTATGGTATAGATGGAAGGTGCGGCAAGGGGGGAGAAATCAGAGTGTGTGCGCATGTGTGATGCTGAGGGCCATCAGGACCATGCCAGCCTGCCTGCCAACCAGCCAGTATCACATACCCACACGCCCACTCCTCACATGGACCCTCACCATTCCATGCCCTGGGCCCCCCACCCCCTCCTCCCCCTCACATCGATTCTAATCCAGAACTGGTTATCGTGGTAGAATCCCGGCTCGTTGCTCACAACCATGCCCGCTTGCCAGTACCACCCACCCTCCACTCAAATGGCCCCTCAACCCCCCACTCCCCCACCCCCTCACGCCCTCAACCAACGCACCTCATGCAACTCCAATTCTGCGCACCTCAATCCTGATCCCAAACTGGTTATCATGGTAGAATCCCGGCTCGTTGCTCACAACCATGCCTTCTTGCAAGTACCATGCACGTACCCTCCCACCCTTTCCTCACATGCTCCCTCACCAACCAAACCCCCCACACATTCAACCCCTTGTCCCACTCCCATCCCCCTCACCTCAATTCTAATCCCGAACTGCTTATCATGATAGAACCCTGGCTCATTGCTCACAACCATGCCCGCCTGTCAGTACCACACACGCACGTACCACCAACCCATCCCCTCATGCCCTGCAATCCCTTGTCCCTTGTCCTCACCTCGATTCTAATCCCAAACTGGTTATCATGGTAGAATCCCGGCTCGTTGCTCACACGTGCGTACCCACCTACCCTCTGCTTACACACATGGTCTCTCAACCCCTCAACCCCTCAACCCCCCACCCCCACATCCTCTTGCCCCCCTCACCTCGATTCGGATCCCGAACTGGTTATCGTGGTAGAACCCCGGCTCGTTGCTCACAACCATGCCCGCCTGCCAGTACCACGAATTTACCCCCTCACATGGGCCTTAGGTTACCTCTCCAACCCTGCCTCCCCCTCACCTCAATCCTAATCCCAATCTGGTTGTCGTGGTAGAACCCCGGCTCATTGCTAACAACCATGCCTGCCTGCAGCGGAGTCGGGTTGCCAAACCGAGGGCTGATGCTCTGCGGCCCCTCGTGCACGTTCAGCCCAGCGCCCACGCCGTGCCCCGCGCCGTGCCGGTAGTCCAGCCCCATGCCCCACACGGGGGCTTCGCGCGAGAATGTCAAGAGCAAAACTTGGCGTTCCCTGGGGGAACACTGCACGGTCCAGCGTGATTTGGCCCTGTGAGGGGAGCGGAGGGGGAGGGGAGGGGGAGAGGAGGGGAAGAGGAGGGGAGGAGGGGGCCTTGCTGCCCCATGCCGTAACAATTGTCCAGCCCCATGATCAGCAGCGGTCCCCGGACTACAATGTCCAGGGCAAAACCGGGCAGCACTCCTCACCTGACAACACTGCTTACCACCCGACAGCACTCTTCCTCACCTGCAGCACGCCTGTGTAGCACTCCTTCTCATAGTCCGAAGGGGTCCCGAAGTGAACAGTGCGCGTGATGTCTGTTGTGTCGTCCACATACTGTGCTCCGCTATCCAGCAGAAGCATCCTGGAAGGATCCACCGCACAGTTGTCCTCCTCAGCCCGGTAGTGAATGATCGCCCCGTTCTTGCCCGGACCTGCACGCCAGGCTTGGAAAAAATGAACGAGAGGGATCTCATCGGCTTGTCAGAGCGTCTGCGTTGCATGAAATGCTTGGAACCAGCATTGCTCTGAGCACAGCAACACCGCGACAGAAAGGCTGCGCGACGCAAAGGGCGCCCCTTTAGTGCCCTTTCTGTGCCCCAAAGGGCACTATCCAGCTGACACCCCACCCCACCTGCAATGGTATCAAAGCTGGTATCAAGGAACCCCTCCTGCTGTGCACGGAACGCCTCGAGCCTCTCCCCCACCTCCACCTCTGTCACCGCCCTCCCCTCCTCCACCACCGCCCTATCCGCCCACTCCCAGAAATGCGCCATTGCCACCGCATCCCTGGGGGAACGGTTGCAGAGGAAGGGATACAGTTGAAAAGGGAGAATGGGAGAAACGAAAGCGGAACGACCGATTTGAAAATGGTCTTTAGGGGCCCAGCATCCGCTCCACCCACTCCCAGAAACATGCCAATGCCACCGCGTCCCCAGGGGAACAGGTGCAGAGGAAGGGATAGTTTCAAAGGGAAAAATGGAGAACACAAGCGTGAACCAGGCATCACAAGCAACACCCTCCAAACCTTCTCTCCCCCTTTGTGCCTGCATCCCCTTCTTCCCCAACTCTAAGCCTCTCGCCCAGGCTTGCACTGGGGTGGTCACATGCAGCACTACCGAACCCTTCCAGTGCGGGCCCTTCATCCTTTCCATCTCAGATTGGCGTCGTTAAGCTCAGCACTTCAGGGCCTTCATTCATTCGCTCCCCTCCTCCAATGCCTTCCGGTTTTGAAGTTTCACTCATCTGATATGGGCGTTCTTCTTCCCCTCAATCTCCGATTCATTCTTCAGCGCTTTGGCCGGAGAGATAGGCGTGGTGCGACTCAGCACTGCCGGCCCTTCCACTGCCACCACTGCCCCCCTATCCACCCCCTCCCCTTCTTTGAGTCAAGTAGAAGAACCCACTCACCTGATAAGAGTAAATGCTTGAGAGTCTCAAAAACTCTATCCAATCCCTCCCCTTTTTCGAGTCATGTAGAAGACCCCACTCACCTAATGTGCGCGTTCTTCATCCCCTCAATCTCAGACTCGTTCTTCAGCGCCTTGGCCAGAGAGATGGGGGTGGTTCGGCTGAGCACTGCCGGCCCTTCCACTTCCTCCCCGCCTGCTCCCCCTCGCTCCTCCTTCCCCTTCCCTCCCTTCCCCTCCTTGCTCTTTTTCTCCCCCTTCTCGCCCTTCTTTCCCCTTCTTTCCCTCAAACCCTCCCTTCCCTGACGCTCTCTATTCGTAGTACTGAGTGTAGGCGGCTTCAACAGAGCAGAGCACTGCAGAGGAGGCGGAGGCAGGGTCCAGCCACAGGCGAGCCCCTTCCATCGCAGACCTGAGAGGGCGGAGAGGGGAGGGAAGGGAACAGAAGGTTGAGGTTCGCTGCTCGTAGTACTGAGCGCAGGCAGCTTCAACAGAGCAGAGCACTGCAGAGGAGGCGGAGGGAGGGTCCGGCCACAGGCGAGCCCGGATCCACAAAGAGGTGCGCCCCCTCTGCAGGCGGACGGAAAACGCACGTACCTTTGGAGGAAGGGAACGAGGTCTCCATATGGCTTGACAGACACGCCTGCTGCTGCCAGATGCTCTAAGACAGCAGGCGCTGCCACCTTGCTGGGGTCCACAAAGAGGTGCGCTGCTTCCGCCTCCACCACTGCATATGCCACTGTCACCGGACAGTGTGGCACGTCTGCTCCACGCTGTTGGGGGGGGAGGTGGGGAGAACGTGGGTGGGGAGGGGGAGAACGTGGGTGGGGAGGGGGAGAACGTGGGTGGGGAGGGGGCGAGTAAGCGGGGCAGGGAGGTCAGCATGGGACACAAAGAGATGTGCCGCGTCCAGTTCCACCACTGCGTGCGTGCGCCACTGTCACTGGCACGTCCGCTCCCCTCTGTTGGGGGGTGTGGGATCTGTGGTGAAGGGATTACGTGGCGAGGGCGGATGTGAAGGCAGCGACCTTGCCTCGATCCACTGACAGATGTGCCGCCTCCAGTTCCACCACTGCGTGCGTGCGCCACTGAAAAAGAACATGGGCAGAGAGGTTGGAACTGCTCATGTTCTAACCTGTCTTGGAACTTGGGGCACAAAGTGATAAGCAACTTAAGCTGCTCGTCAACATGACGAGCGCATAGATGAAATGGAACACCTTAAAGGTCATGTGGGTCACCTGTGTTAGCGTCACCTGAAACACTGGCGATTTCAACAAGGTCCGGCAGGCAAACCAGTGCAGCACTCACCACGTTGAGCAGCCAGGCGACTTCATCCAGAGCCAACACCAGCAGCGCCGTGGCACCGGCGTCTCTCATCTCCGCCCGCAGCTGCTGCAGCTTCGCCCTCACCGTCTGCCCTGCGAACTCGATCGGGTGCACCCTCATGGGGGCTGAGGGGGGCGGGGGCCGCTGGTGGGAAGCACAGGAGGGGTGTTGGGGGGGGGGAGAGGAATGGGAGACTTTGAGACGTACGAAAAAGCGTCTCTCATCTCTGCCCCGCGAGCTCTATCAGGTGCACCCTCAGGGGCGCTGATGGGGGCAGGGGGCGCTGGTGGGAAAAAGAAAGGGGGGTTTGGTGGGGGGGAGGGCGGGGCGGGGAGTGTAGGCAAGCGATATGCGGAGGGGCGAGACCTGGAGAAAATAACAACCAGGTGCGTCCACTCTAGCACACACTCGCACCTTCACCCTTGACACAATCTTCGGACATTTTTCAGTGAGCAGCAGCGCTTAGGTTTAGGCTTGAGCAAGTAGGAAAACCTAAGCACTGCTGCTCACTAGAAAATGTCCGAAGATCTGCTAACACTCGCACCTCCGTCCTTGACACAATTTCAATCCCCAGTGAAGCTTGTCTACACCAATTCTGCGGTAAGGGATGGTCTACTCTAATCCAACCTCCATCCCATACACCAACCTCTTACCGCCCTCTCCCCACTGACCTCCACGCCCCACACGGCGTCAACAGGGTTGCTCTCGCGCAGCAGCGGGATGATCTTACCCCTTGCCCCCACCTCCCCAGCGCACCCACCTCTGCGGCCCCCACAGGCCCTCCCTCCCCTTCTCCCCACTGACCTCAGCGCCCCAAACAACGTCAATGGGGTTGCTCTCGCGCAGCAGCGGCACCACCACGGACGACGACGCAGCCAGCGTGTCCGCCAGGCCCCTCACGTTGTCCGCCGAGTGCACAAACTGGGGGCGGCGGGATGGTGGAGGTTGGAGTGAGAGAAAAGGGGGGAGGGATACTAGACTCAAAGGCTGTTAGAGTGTCTGCTAAACCCCTCACATTCTCGGCTTGCGCCAGCCAGTCCGCCACAGGACGCGTTCCTTCACACTGCAGCTCTTCTTCATGACCAGCCAGTCCGCCACAGGACGCGTTCCAGGCATCGCCCCATCGGGCCATCGCCACCTCCAGGAATCTATCTCCGTCTGTGCCACCTCTCTTCCCCCGCCCTATATTTGAGTGACTTTCGAGAATTCTCAAAAGCCACAGGACGCGTTCCAGGCATCGCCCCATCGCCCCATCGCCCCATGGCTACCGAATCTATCTCCATCTGTGCCACCTCTCTTCCCCCGCCCCCCTTATCCAGCCTCCCCTCGCTCCACACTCTGCTGCCCGGGCGCACAGCTTCTGCCAGCCAGACCGCGGCATAGGGCACGCAAGCCACCCCCCCTTTATCAGTACCGACTCTAACCCCCGTCATTGCCATTGCCACCCCCCTTTCCCCAAGCCCTTCCCCCTGTGAATACCGGATCAACGTCCACTCTGCTGCCCGCGGGGAGCGCTTCCACCAGCCTCCTACCCCAAGCCACCACCCCCTATTTCCCATCCTCCATGTTGTTTACCGGGTCCACCCCCACTCGCCCCTTTTTCCCATCCTCCATTCCACTTACCGGGTCCACCCCCACTCGCCCCTTTTTCCCATCCTCCATTCCACTTACCGGGTCCACCCCCACTCGGCTGCCCGCGGGGAGAGCTTTCGCCAGCCAGTCCGCGACGGAGGGCACGCCGGGCATGCCCGCGCGCATGAGGTCCCAGCCCGGCGGAAGCTGCTGCTCCGCCTGCAGGAAGTAGCGCCCGTCCGTCCACAGCAGTGCGCGCTCGCGCGTGACCACCGCCGTGCCCTCGGAGCCCGTGAAGCCCGAGATGAACGCGCGGCGCTCGAAGCACGGCGCCATGTACTCGCTCTGGTAAGCAGGGGGGGGAGGAGGGGGGAGGTAAGAAAGAATGTGACAGTACCGCTCTCTGGTTACCACCGCAGCGCCTGGTGATGGCGCTGGTGTAGATGGCACAAGGCCATAACAAAAGGGCCGAGAGTAGCATGCTTATATCGAGCAACGAGGCGAATTCTGTTCGGAGCCTACAATGCGCAGGTTACGGGAAAGTAACCTGGTGCGGGTCTTCCGACGGGATGATAAAGGCGTCGACGCCCTTCCCCTCATCCACTTCCGCCATTACTTCCCGCAACCGGCGCAAGCGCTTCTCCAGCTCCTTCCCCTGCATCCTCCGCCTTCTTCCCCGCATCCTCCGCTTTCTTCCCTGCATCCTCCGCTTTCTTCCCTGCATCCTCCGGCTTCTTCTCCGTATCCCCCGCCGCTGTATTCTCAGCTAGATTCTCCCCGTCTGCAGCTGTTTTTGCGTCGGCGGAAGGAGAAGAGCGTTCGGCGGAAACTTCCTCAGCGCCGATTTTCCATGCGCGCGCAGAGCAGGTGAGGAATCGACGGCGAGATTCGCTACTGGAAAACGCGGCGGGTGAAGCGGCGAAAGAGACGGACGGAGTTCTGGTTAGACTTCCGGAGCGACGTCCATATGGAATAGAAAAGGCACCGGAGGATGGACTATTGCGTGTGCTGGCGGCCACGCCGATAAATGTTCTAGAAACATGCGACGATACCAAGGGCATGGCAAAATCGTGAAGAGCGGTGGAGGAGGGGAGAATCGGGGTGGACTGGCCGAGAGCTAGGGTGAGGGAAGAAGCTGGAATGGCGGTGTGGCTTAAAGCCCAAGATCTGAATTACTCAACGGAAGTCAACTGAGTATTTCTAGGTTCGGCGGGCTGCCAGTTGGAGGTTCGAATGGGTTGAGTGACACGCGAAAAAGCAAAACCACCTTGCGACTGAAAACAGTTCGCCACAAACTGTGCACTTGCTGATTGGTTGGAACAAACATGGCACACAAGGCCCATCTTCCCAAGTTCGACAAACCTGAGAAGCACGCGAAGGGAAAGTGTGCACAGTTTGAATAGGGAATGACAGGCACTCGAACAAACATAACTAGTCCTAAGTCCCCTTCAGCCAGGCGCGGCCTTAGCTTCTAGAAAAACGAGAAGGAGGCATTAGGAGCGAATGTCCGTGTTGATGGACCCGGAAAGGCGCGATTTTTAGGGTGTTGAGGACAACGCCCTCAACAAATAGGGAACAGGGCGGACGTATGAGACGGGGCGCCCCACATAGCCTTGTTACGCCACCACTCGGTGCAGCTTAGATTCCCACGCGCTCGAGGCGCCCCCAGCATCAAGCCTTCCGCCCTGCCCCTCACGGTCCCCCGTTTGCGAGCGCCTGCCTTTCACATAGCGCATGGTGAGAAGCCTCCCGTCGGGCTCATCTCAGCCCCCCGTCGCCCTCATTTTCAGCTTCCCGTCGCCCACATTTCAGCTTCTCGTCGCACGCATTTCGCGGCCCGTCGCCCTCGTATCCAATATTTCGAGACGCCCACGCTTCCCGAGTCCGGTCGCCCTCCATTCCCTTCCCGAGAACCCACATTACCGAACCCGTCGGCCACAAATCCCTTCCCGTCGCCCCATTTCCCTTCCCGTCGCACTCACTTCCCTTCCCGTCGCCCTCGTTTCCCTTCCCGTCGCCCACATTACCCTTCCCGTCGCACTAATTTCCCGTCCCCTCTCACACATTTCCACCCCGTCGCCCTCGTTTCCCTGCCCGTCGCACTAAATTCCCTTCCCGTCGCACTCATTTCCTTCCCCGTCGCCCACATTTCCCTTCCCTGCGCCCTCATTTCCCCTCTCATCGCCCACATTTCCCTTCCCGTAGCCCTCATTTCCCCTCTCGTCGCCCTCGTTTCCCTCCCCATCGCCCACATTTCGCTACCTGTCGCTCACAATTCCCTCCATCCTCCCTTCCTCTCATCCGCCCTTCCTCTCGTCCGCCCTTCTCTCACATCCTCTCTCCCTCTTATCCGCCCCTCCTATCGTCCTCATTTCCACTCGTCCTCCCTACCCTTCTTTCACCACGCGCCCTCATCCGCCCTCCACCTCATCCGCCCTCCCCCTCGTCCGCCCTCCCTCTCATCCACCCTTCTTCTCGTCCTCCCTCCCCCTCATCCAGCCTCCCCCTCATCCGCCCTTCATCTCATCCTCCCTTCTCTCATCCAACCTTCCTCGCATCCCCCCTTCCTCTCATCCTCCTTTCCTCTCATACAACCTCCCTCTCATCCTCCTCTCCTCTCATCCGCCCTTCCTCTCATCCGCCCTTCCTCTCATCCGCCCTTCACGCTCTCATCCTCTCTCCTTCTCATCGTCTCTCCCTCTCATTCGCCCTTCATCTCGTCCTCCCCTCAACTCGTATTCCCTCCCCTACTTCAGCCCCCCCCCCCCCTCATCCGCCATCCCTATCATCCACCATTCCTCGCGTCCACCCTTCCTCGCATCCGCCCTTCCTCTCATCCACCCTTCCTCCTTCTCTCCCATCCTCTCTCCTTCTCATACTCCCTTTCTCTCGTCCTCCCTTCCTCTCATCCCCCCCTCCTCTCATCCTCCTTTCCACTCATCTCCCTTTCCTGTCATCCTCCCATCCCCACATCCGCCCTTCCTCTCATCCGCCCTTCCTCTCATCCGCCCTTCTCTCCCATCCTCTCTCCTTCTCATACTCCCTTTCTCTCATCCTCCCTTCCTCTCCCCTTCCATTCCTCTCATCCCCCCTTCCTCTCATCCTCCTTCCCTCTCATCCGCCCTTCCTCTCATCCGCCCTTCCTCTCATCCGCCCTTCGCGCTCTCATCCTCTCTCCATCTCATCGTCTCTCCCTCTCTTCCTCCTTTCCCTCGTCCACCCTTCTTCTCGTCCTCCCTCCCCCTCATCCGTCCTCCCCCTCATCCGCCCTTCCTCTCATCCTCCCTTCCCCACATCCGCCCTTCATCTCATCCTCTGTTCCCCTCGTCCTCCCTTCCTCTCATCCCCCCCTCCTCTCATCCTCCTTTCCTCTCATCTTCCTTTCCTGTCATCCTCCCATCCCCACATCCGCACTTCCTCTCATCCGCCCTTCTCTCCCATCCTCTCTCCTTCTCATTCTCTCATTCTCTCATACTCCCTTTCTCTCATCCTCCCTTCCTCTCCCCTTCCATTCCTCTCATCCTCCCTTCCTCTCATCCTCCTTCCCTCTCATCCGCCCTTCCTCTCATCCGCCCTTCCTCACATCCGCCCTTCACACTCTCATCCTCTCACCTTCTTATCGTCTCTCCCTCACATCCTCCTTTCTCTCATCCACCCTTCTTCTCGTCCTCCCTCCCCATCATCCGCCCTCCCCCTCATCCGCCCTTCATCCCATCCTCCCTTCCCCCCATCCGCCCTTCATCTCATCCTCTGTTCCCCTCTTCCCCCCTTCCTCTCGTCCTCCTTCCCTCTCATCCCCCCTTCCTCACGTCCTCCTTTCCTCTCATCCGCCCTTCCTCACGTCCTCCCTTCCTCTCGTCCTCTCTCCCCTACTTCCGCCCCCCCCCCCTCATCCGCCCTCCCTATCATCCACCCTTCCTCTTGTCCACCCGTCTTCTCGTCCTCCCACCCCCTCATCCGCCCTTCTTCTCATCCTCCCTTCCCCACATCCGCCCTTCATCTCATCCTCCCTTCCCCACATCCGCCCTTCATCTCATCCTCCCTTCCCCACATCCGCCCTTCATCTCATCCTCTGTTCCCCTCGTCCTCCTTTCCTCTTATCCTCCTTTCCTGTCATCCTCCCAACCCCACATCCGCCCTTCCTCACATCCGCCCTTCCTCTCATCCGCCCTTCCTCACATCCGCCCTTCCTCTCATCCGCCCTTCTCTCTCATCCTCTCTCCTTCTCATTCTCCCATTCTATCATACTCCCTTTCTCTCATCCTCCCTTCCACTCCCCTTCCATTCCTCTCGTCCCCCCATCCTCTCATCCTCCTCCCTCTCATCCGCCCTTCCTCTCATCCGCCCTTCCTCTCATCCTCCCTTCCTCTCATCCTCCTTCCCTCTCATCCGCCTTTCACACTCTCATCCTCTCACCTTCTTATCGTCTCTCCCTCACATCCTCCTTTCTCTCATCCACCCTTCTTCTCGTCCTCCCTCCCCATCATCCGCCCTCCCCCTCATCCGCCCTTCATCCCATCCTCCCTGCCCCACATCCGCCCTTCCTCACATCCGCCCTTCCTCTCATCCGCCCTTCCTCACATCCGCCCTTCCTCACATCCGCCCTTCTCTCCCATCCTCTCTCCTTCTCATTCTCCCATTCTATCATACGCCCTTCCTCTCATCCTCCCTTCCTCTCATCCTCCTTCCCTCTCATCCGCCTTTCACACTCTCATCCTCTCACCTTCTTATCGTCTCTCCCTCACATCCTCCTTTCTCTCATCCACCATTCTTCTCGTCCTCCCTCCCCATCATCCGCCCTCCCCCTCATCCGCCCTTCATCCCATCCTCCCTTCCCCCCATCCGCCCTTCATCTCATCCTCTGTTCCCCTCTTCCCCCCTTCCTCTCGTCCTCCTTCCCTCTCATCCCCCCTTCCTCACGTCCTCCTTTCCTCTCATCCGCCCTTCCTCACGTCCTCCCTTCCTCTCGTCCTCTCTCCCCTACTTCCACCCCCCCCCCCTCATCCGCCCTCCCTATCATCCACCCTTCCTCTTGTCCACCCGTCTTCTCGTCCTCCCACCCCCTCATCCGCCCTTCCTCTCATCCAACCTTCCTCTCGTCCACCCTTCCTATCATCCTCCCTTCCTCTCATCCGCCCTTCCTCGCTTCCTCCCCTCCTCTCATTCTCCCTTCCTCTCGTCCACCCTTCCTCTCATCCCCTCCTCCTCTCATCCTCCCTTCGTCCCATCCGGCCTTCCTCTTATCCTCTCCCCTCATCCTCCCTTCCTCTCATCCCCCCTTCCTCACATCCACCTTTCCTCCCATCCTCCCTTCCTCCCATCCGCCCTCATTTCCCTTCCTGTCGTTCCTCATTTCCCTACCTGTCGTTCCATATATCTGATTCCTCCATTCCAATCTTTCCTCCTTCAACCCTGCCCTCCTTGCCTCCTCATTCCAGTACGCAGACACCTTTCGGCCAGCAACACCACTCACCTGCGGGCATCTCAGCCACCCTGATTGCCAACCATCGCCCCGCGTGCATGAGCCCGCCTTTCTGAGCCAGGTACGTGCTACCATCCTCACACCTGCCTTATCTGGCCCACCTTTCACTTATCCCCCGGCAAGAAGATTCCCCGCCTACTAGAGTTTCCCCGTTGCTCAAGGACAGCCGCTGTTTTCTGGAACGCACTGCCAAGTGTCGCTTTGTAAGAAGAATCACTTAGCCATCTCCCCACCAGGGTTGCCCCCACTTTGCGCACCCTACCATACGTTCCGGCCACACTATTGCCCATACAATCATCTCCTCTCCATACCCCTCGTAGTCCCCTACTCACTGGAAAAATCAACCACTCCAATATCCTTTCCGCCCCTCGCTTATACATCCATCACATCCCATCCTTATGCCCTCCCTTCCCATCGCTGAGCCCTCATTTGAGCCTGGCCCCCTCACATCCCATCCATCCGCTCTCTCATCCATTCCTGTCGCCTTCAGTGCTCATCTCCCTCACTTCCCTTCCTGTCGCCCATGGCCCCATCACTCCATCTGCGTTCACCTGGGGTCGCTCGCTCATTGCGCGTCATTCATGACAACATGCTCTCCACACTCCATTCCACCCTACACGAGTGCCCCTCTACCAACCTACCACCCCATTCCCTTTCCATTCAGTCCCATCCTTCCCATCCAGGCTTCGATGGCGAACCATCCAGTGTCTAGTGTGTGCAGCACGTTCAACCAGCGTCATTATACTGTCCATTGGAAGCTCAGAGCCCCAGTTTGCTACCTGCGTGTGGGGCTAAGCGTGCTCATGCCTGACAATAAAGTGGCTACGCATAACGATCTATTAGCAGTCTACATGCAAGCTGCGCCACATGTCACAGAGAGACTTATGAGGGCAGCAAGACACGCAGGTAACAATGGGGAATATGGGTGTTTGTCGCTTGATATAGTGCTGTAATGTGCACTCTACGTCGTGGACAGTGTGTACTGTTCTCACAGGTTGATGTGCTTGCATGGTTTTGCGACAGGTGCGGGTCCTGGAGGAGAGAGCGCTGGCCAAGTTGTGAGGATGCATCTGGAATCCGACTCGAAGGCCTTCTGGAAGCGCATGGGGAGAGGGACCACAACGGTGGAGGATCTGTTAGCGAGGCCAGACCGATCACTGATAGGTGTAGAGTTTGAGTTTCCAAAATGGGAGAGAGGAAAAAATGGCGAGCCTAGAAGAGTGGAAGGAAACGGATGGGGCGGTGCACGCAACCAAGCTGCAGCAAGCGTCCCGACGGTAGAAGGTAAGAACGTAATGAGATGCTCGTTCTACTAAAAACTTCCCTCCCTCTCCCAGCCCTGTGGGCCTGATGCTTGTTTCCCCCATGGCACTGCCTAATACTAACACGAACCCGACCCCCCCACCACCTGCCCTACTATTCTGCCTATTATCTCCCACCAACCCCCAATCCTATTTCTGTCCCTATTCGCTGAATTCTCTTCCCCGTTGCCCATAAAACTGTCGCCCCCCGCTCTGCCCTGAACCCTTGTCCTTTCCACCCTCCCCCGACCTGCCTTGAAGCCCTAACCCTGGGCCTAATTCTTGTTCCCCTGCTGCATGTCAACAGAAACCCCACAAACAAATGAGGACGGGCATGGGCCGTGCTTGTCGGCCAAGAACGTGTATGGGGTCGAGGGGGTGAGTGTTGAAGACCCTACACAACCGCATGGCACTCATTCGAGCCCCCAAACCGGTGGCTATTCTGAGGGGCCAAACAGGTACAAGCAATAATTGTCCGATGAAATACTAACCCATATGTTCATTTCCACATTTATTGATAAGATGTAGAGTAGCACGTGCAGCACGATTACAAAAACCAATCCAAATTTGCATCCGTCTTGATTTCTGTCCATGCAGCCTGGATGCTGGCAGCGTGACGCGCAAGCGTCGTTGGCCCCGTGGTTGGCCAAACCCACCAAATTGGGAAGATTTTCCAGCAGACATGGTATGTCTTCTCGATCCGAGGGTGATGGTATCGTTCTTTTGTGGTCGCGCCTTAGGCACGTGCGTGAGGTCTGCGTGCAGAGGTGCAATGCAACTTGAGTTGTGGAAGCGGTCATGGGCATGTCTGGGGTTGCTGTGGTTGTGCAATGTCTGCTCAGCCAAGGAGGAATTTTGGTCAAGTAGTCGAGTGAGAGATGACCTACCTCCCAGCAAGCGTGGTCCACGTAGTCCGCCATTGATGGGTAAGATGATTGGAGCATTCGCTCTTGCCGGGATTGGGTATCAGCAGATGTGGGAGGTATGTCGCACCCTAGGCGTGCCGAGGCCAGGGCACGAAACATACTACAAGTGTTTGAAGGGCGACAATGGTTTGTGGAGTGTAATAATATCAGTGGCCAGTCAAAACATGATGCGAGTGCGTGCGAGCATGGCACTGCGTCCAGGTCTAAAATGGTTATGTGTTGACGGTAGGTATTCGAGGGTGAGAGAGGCGCGATGGTGTACCGTAACATGGTTGGATAGGGAGAGTCGAAAAATGGTTCATTATACAAACACAAGGAAACATAGGGACGACCGTTCATCCGTTAGGCTCGAGCGAATTGCATTTGACCAAGGCATGGATGAGCTGAGTAGGGATGGGTTTTGCGTAGATGGCATCATAACGGATGAGGGTACTGCTTTCAAGAGTGCTGCTCGGGAGAGAGGGTTGAGCCATCAGATCGACTGGTGGCACAAGTGTGGTACAGAGGTTAGAAGTTTCCGATCAGAGTTGCAAGACGCTAAGCGGAAGGTTGTAAAGACGGTAGCGGAGGCCAGCTGCTGTGAGGATCTGTACTTGCTTACCAATAAACTGCTGCAGGATTGGCTGCGAGCTGCACCCAGAGAGGGCACGAGGCCACCTTTGCCCACTACAAAGAAAGAGCTCGTAGCTGAAGTGTGCACTCTGCGAGGGTTTGTCTTCAAGGATATGGATCCCGCCGATGCAAAATGGTTACACCCTACATTGCAGCAAGTGCTTCAGAGCCGGGGAAATGGGAGTGCAGAGCCGGTCATCCCAGAGGTCCAAAGGGTCTCTTTACCAGATCGGATGACTCAACCTCGATCAGGAGGCGCGGTTGGAGAGGGGGGGGTGGAGAATGCAGACGGTTTACGCGACGAAACAGCCACTGTGGAGGTACAGTGGCCGGATGTGGCTGAATTATGGAGCTACGATGCTCATCCAGTGTATGGGATACGGCCGTCCTCGTATGCCTCCATGGTGCTCATACAGACTTGGGACGGGTTTGAGGGGCGTTCTTCGTTCTTGAGTGAAGAGGCCACCGGCCAAGGTAACATTCATAAGGCATTGACTTTCTCATCCTACCATCTATGAGGTTACGTTCACACTCCATTCTCATTTTCCAGCCCACTTTCCCGGGCAGTGGTGGTTTTTGCGATCCTCTCTTCTCCGTTATTTCCCTCGTACCGTCCTATTTCCGTCTCCATCCTCTCATCTACCCTATTATTTAGCCCTGCCCCCTTGAATACCAACCTGACCATACCTTGGTCACATTATGCGCAGGCAACCAAGATGGGGCTCAGGAAGCGACGGCGCCCGTAGACGTGGGAGGCACCCAAGCCACAACGGATGGGGCTGCGGAGGAAGAGGGCGTAGGGGCTGCCTCGGAAGAAGAAACTCCTAGGAGGTGGGGACGGCGAAGGCAAAGGAGCAGAACAAGCCGTGGAGACGGTGGAGGCGTCGACGGTGAGGGAGAGATAGAGGCTAGGGATAAGGAGGTCACCGTTGCTGACCGTCTTGCTGTGCATTTCTACCACTGTATGATGCGCAGTGGGGTGATGGCCCGAGCGGGGCACACTCGGTCCCCCGCGGATGTCTCAGCCGAACTATGCCTTGCACCGGATCATTTCGCAGGACTTCATTCTGGGTGTAGCAGAGGCGGTCAACCAAAACGTTACCCTCCCCCACTATCGTCTCCCCTCTCACCCATTCCCTCTCCCCCTTTTTCCCGTCCCGCCCCCCGCCCCATCCCCTTCTCCTTGTCCAGCTCCCAATACTGGTTCAGTCCCGTTCCCCTCCCTTGCCTATCCCATCCTCTCTCCTGTCCCACATTCCTATCCCCCCCTGCATGTCAGCCAACGGAGAGCATGCTGCATATCTGTGAAGAGAGTGGCCGAGACCTCACACGGGAGGTGAGTCATTGCACTGTCTGCTCTGCATTGCTCATGCTGTCCGTAGTGCACGTTCCGCTCGCCGTGGCTGCTCTGTCCGCCCCACATGCACTACACTGAGACACACTCTGTTTGGCCTGATACATACACTACGCACCGCTTTTTGTAAACTTGTTTCCGTAGTACCTGTCTCCACCTCTCCACTTTTTGTGTACTTGTTTCTCCACCTGTCTCGACCCTCCCGCCTCTCTTTGTGCTCAGATCCGCAAGGGCTAGGGCAAGCAGCGTTGGACATCAGCCAAGTCACCATCAGCCCCATTCATCACTGCACCTACACGTGTTCACGTGTAACTCTAAGCGTGTGCTTGCCTCACACTAATACCGTGCACGTGAGCATGCCGTTTTTTCACAAGTAGTGGAGGCAAATGACGCAACGCGCTCCCCGATGGCTAGAAGCTAAGAAGTGAAACATGTCCTTCCCCATCAAATAACATACCTAGGGCTTCTTCATTGATCTATCCATCATAGCTGGATGGTCATCCAACCACATGTCAAACTATTGCAGTCTGTGTAAAAAGAGGAACACATGTACAGTGTAAATCGTACCCGATAACCATCTCTCCCTTCTTAACAATCAATAAATTCCAGACTCTTGCGTGGCCACATTGACAATTGACCTAGCATCGTTTGACCTCATCCCAAAATCAATCTCCATAGGGTGACCTTGAGAATCCTCTTCCGTGTTTTTTCCCAAGCACACCATCAGAATGCCCCCCACACTAATTCCCTGACTCCCGGGGCCCTCCTCATCCGACAATCCGAGCCAATGTCGCGCCCAAGCGTCAAGCACACGATGCTGCTTGGCATATCGCTCCTCAAACTCAGATATTCCCCACCGTTCTTTCTCATTTTCTGCGGGGGCAAGCCCGTTGGCTGCACAACTCTTCGAGCTCGAACCCTGGGAAAGGGACGTGTTGTGCTCGCGGCAACCGAACGAGTATGGGCTGAAAGGGTGCCCGTACTTGCCGTGAACATCGACTCCGGTCCACGTCGCCGACCCCTCTCCTCCTCATCATCCTCGGAACCCTCCTCCCCAACCTTGAATCCAAGCGTCAGCCGTCTCCGAGGAGTACGTCTCCACGAAGACATGGCTGATGAGGTGGACTGGTTTAGAGGGTGAGAAAAGGGAACATCAGGCAGAAAACAACAAGGGAGAGGGAGGGGTTAGGGAGTGAATGGGTTGGGAGGGGGGAGGGGGGGGGGGGGGGGGGAACTATCCGATTACGCAGGTCATTGAATTGAGTTGGCTGTGTAGGGGAGGGTGGGCAGGTCAGGCACTAAACAAAAGGTCCAGAAGCACCCTGCCCTGTCAGAGTGGGGCACGGGAGGCGAGGAGAGAGGACCACCCCACCTGTCAGAGGGGAGCACGGGAGGTGAGGAGAGAGGAGCACCCCACCTGTCAGAGGGGAGCACGGGAGGTGAGGAGAGAGGAGCGTCCCACATTCCAGAGTGGAGCACGGGAGGCGAGAGGAGAGGAGCACCATTGTCAAATGTTGTAGCCTGTAGTGAGGTTTGTCTTAGGGGGTACAGAAGTTAGGGTTTGTTATATGTACCCCAACCAACATCAATGGAACATTCATTCCTCATTCTGACATGGTATCAGCTAGGTTAGGATCCTGTGGGATCCCGTTCCTCCGTTCTCCGTTCGTACCTCCCGAGCCTGATCCTACCTCTCGTTCGTACCAGTTCCGTTGTTACCGCGCCTAGTACCGAGCCTCGCGCCCTTTCCCCCGTCGCTTAGCGCCCTTTCTCCCCGTCGCCTCGCGCCCTTTCCCCCCCCCCCCCGTCGCGTCGCGCCCTTTCCCCCCGTCGCGTCACGCCCTTTCCCCCCGTCGCGTCGCGCCCGTTCCCCCCGTCGCGTCGTGCCCGCCTGTTCCCCCCCCCGTCCCGTCGCCCTGTCCCGTCGCGCCGCCCTGCCCCGTCCCGTCGCCCTGCCCCGTCGCGCCGCCCTGCCCCGTCGCGTCGCCCTGTGCCGTCGCGTCGCCCTGCCCGTCGCGTCGCCCTGTGCCGTTGCGTCGCCCTGCCCCGTCGCGTAGCCCTGCCCCGTCGCGTCGCTCCCGCCCTTTCCCCCGTCGCGTCGCCCTGCCCTACGCCCTGGCCCGTCGCCCTACCCTAGGCCCTGGCCCGTCGCCCTCCCTAAGCCCTGGCCCGTCGCCCTACCCTAAGCCCTGGCCAGTCGCCCTACCCTAGGCCCTGGCCCGTCGCCCTACCCTAGGCTCTCGCCCGTTGCCCTCCCTAAGCCCTGGCCCGTCGCCCTACCCTAGGCCCTGGCCCGTTGCCCTACCCTACGTCCTGGCCCGTCGCCCTAGCCCGCTCTTCCGCTGCAACTGAGTCCTCTTCCCCCCCGGTTGTTACTCGCCTGTTCGTTCGCTTTAGTTCTCACTATGGCGACTCCGCGAGTTCTTCGTTTCGACGCTGACGGTAGACCCCTTGACTTTTCCGTCTGGCTTCTTCGCGCTCGCCGTCTGTTAGAGAGTCAGGTCCAGGGGGGCGAGACCCTCTGGTCACACGCTACTGGTGACCTCCCCGAGCCCCCCGAGCCTACAGCTTTAGGCCCTGCTCCTGACGACGCTGCTACGGCTCGCTTTGCCCGTCAGCGCGCTGACCGGACGGCTTGGACGTCGCGTGACGCTGCGGCCTGCATCGCACTCAGCAGCCTCCTCCCTGAGTCTGAGGAGGTCCACTTTACTGAGGTTCGCACCGTTGCTGCGTACCTCACTGCGATTAAGGCCCGCTACTCTACTCCCGCTACTGTCTCTCTTGGCCGTCTTTTCCTCCCGTTCCTGTTTCCTGATCTTGCCTCGTTTGAGCGCTCTGCTGACTTGATCGCTCACCTCCGCTCGCTCGACGCTAGTTACCGCGCTGCTTGCACTAAGGCACAGCTTGCACTGCTTCCTCCCCCCATGGCGATCACTGTCTATTTCATCGCCACTAGCCTCCCTGACCGCCTTGCCTCCGTTCGTGACGCGCTTCTGCTGAAGCACCCTAGTGAGCTGACTATCGAGGTCCTTGAGTCTGCACTCAAGGACGTCGAGAGCAACCTTCGTTCGGTAGCTGCCGCCTCTGGTACTGTGTCCCCCCCACTCTTCCACGGGTGCACAGTCCCGCAGTTACCCACCTTCACTGCCTCTCTTGCCACTGCCGCTACTGACGCGACTGCGGCTGCTGTTACGACTACGTCGCGGTCCCGCGGCAGGGGGGGCAAGAAAGGTGGTTCTGGTGGAGGTGGAGGCGGAGGTAGCGGAGGTAGTGGGGGTGCTGTTGCGACTGGGGGTGGTGGGAGTGCAGCGTCTGGAGAGACCCCTGGTGCAGCGGCTGGTGACTCCACTGCACCTGCTGGTGGCGGCGACCCCCGAGCTCGTCAGTCGCCTCCTGTACTGCCGGCCCCGCTAGGTGGAGCAGCGGCGTGGTACCAGGCTCAGCGTCAGCAGCAGCAGCCCCTTTCCTCCCAGCAGCCTCAGCAGCAGCAGCGTCAGCAGCTGGCTCAGGGGTCGGGGCTGCGTCAGCCCCAGCGCGGTGCGGCTTACCCTCCCTGCCCCTACCAGGTTCAGACAGGTCCTCGTCGGGGCCACCCTTGTGGCCGCTTTCACCCCCCTGGTCAGTGCTTTGCTCAGCTCACTGACACGGTCCGGTTGACCTACGGGGTTGGCGGTCCTGCTCCTGACTGGCTTCCTCTGGTTCAGCGCTACGGCTCCGCTCTGTGGGGCATGTCTGCTGAGCAGTTAGTTGATCTGATTAGTGCTCCTCATGCTATGTATGCTGTTGTTGACTCTAGTGTTTCTGACTCTGTTTACTCTGGTGTTGTTAGCTTAGGTGCTAGTCTTGCTCAGTTGCCTGTTGCTAGTGTAGGTACTTGTGTAGACTCTAGACCAGCGACTACCTCAGAGGACGCTTCGCTGTCGTTCACACTGGACTCTAGAGCCTCCCACTGCTTCTTCCGGGACAGCACGACACTTACACCACTTCCTGCGCCTGTTTCTGTAGCGTTGGCTGATCCCACTACGGGACCAGTCACTGCACGTCACACTACCACTTTACCGTGTCCTGCTGCTCCCTCCGGGTCTCTCACTGGGTTTCACGTCCCCTCGTTCTCCCGGAACTTGGTGGGCGTGCGACCCCTCGTGAGTCAGCACGTGGGTGTGTGGTTTGAGCCTTCTGGAGAGACTGCGGTGTGTGTTGACGGAGACTCTTACCAGCCTCTTGCTACCTTTACTGCTGAGCCGGGCTCAGGTCTCTACACTCTTCACACTGGCCCGCGTGCGCCGCAGCAGCAGCCGCAGCAGCAGCAGCAGCCGCAGCCGCAGCAGCAGCAGCAGCAGCAGCTGCACCAGCGGTCGCACCAGCAGCCGCCCCTACTGCCACTGCCCCCGGTTCCCCCCCTCGTTCGGGTCCCCGCGTCTCACCAGGTTGCTTCGTCCCCCCAGGTGTCTGTGTCGTGTCAGGTTCCTACGTCTGCTCCAGTCGCTGCGTCGTGCTCCTGCCGGTCGCTTGCCCACCCCACCGTTCTGTGGCACCACCGGATGGGGCACCCGTCCCTTCCTCGTCTGCGCGCTATGTCTAGTCAGCGTCTTGTCCTAGGCCTCCCACGTGTCTTGCCGTCGCTGCCGCCTTCGCTTGCGCCGCCGTGTCGTCCCTGCGTCGAGGGTAGGCTGCGCGCCACCCCTCACTCCTCCTCCCTTCGTCCGGCCACCGAGCCTTTTGAGACGCTTTACTTGGACGTCTGGGGCCCCGCCCCTCGTCTAGGCCCTGAGCGTGAGCGTTACTTTCTGGTGGTCGTTGACGACTTCTCCCGCTACACCACAGTGTTCCCTCTGGCGAAGAAGTCTGAGGTGACTTCTACGCTGATCAGGTGGTTGCTCACCACCGAGGACACTCGTGGTCGTCGTGTCAGCTGTCTCCACTCCGACCGTGGGGGTGAGTTTCGCTCCGGCATTCTCGCTGGATTCTGTCGCGAGCAGGGCATTCGTCAGTCCTGGACGCTTCCAGAGTCCCCACAGCAGAATGGGGTTGCTGAGCGCCGCATAGGCCTGGTCATGGAGATCGCCCGCACCTCCCTGACTCACGCCTGTGCCCCCCATTTTCTGTGGCCCTACGCGGTCAGGTACGCCGCGCACCAGCTGAACCTCTGGCCACGTGTCTCTCGACCAGAGGTTTCACCGACCAGTCTTTGGACAGGGTCCCTTGGTGTTGCGTCGCGGTTTCGTGTCTGGGGGTGCTTGGCTCTTGTCCGCGACACCTCCGCGGACAAGCTCTCGCCTCGTGCCGTCCCCTGTGTCTTCCTTGGTTTCCCTGAGGACTCCTCTGACTTCACCTTTTACCACCCTCCCTCTCACCGGTTCTTTGACTCCCGTGACGTCCGTTTCGAGGAGTCCACTCCGTACTACGTCAGGTACCCCAGTCAAGGTCTCCCGGTTCCTCCTCCCCCCCTCTTCCTGACTGCCGCTCCCCCTCCTGCTCCCCCGGTACAGCCTCCCCCCCCTGGCCCAGCCCCGTCAGGTGTGTCCCAGGCTACCCCTCCTCCTTCGGTAGCCCCTCCGGTACAGCCTCCCTCCCCACAGTCCTCCTCGCAGCGTGCCGCTGGTGCTAGCTCTCGAGAGGTTGGTGCTGCGCCTGTTCCTGTACCGGTTTCTGGTTCTGGGGGTGCTGGAGTTGGAGCTGGTGTTGGAGCTGGAGGTGGAGCTGGAGTAGGCACTGGAGTTTCTGGTTCTGGGGGTGCTGGAGTTGGAGCTGGAGTTTCTGGTTCTGGAGTTGGAGCTGACCCGGTGGGTGCAGAGGACTCTTCTCGTCCGGGAGCTGGTGCTGGCCGCGCGGACACTGGGGGTGCTCCCTCTGGGGGTGAGGGTGCGCCTCCTTCGGGTTCTGGTGAGCCTGGGTCTGGAGCTGGTGTTAGTGCTGCCTCTGGGGGTGGTGCGCCTGGTTCTTCGGGGGTTGACTCTGGAGCTGCCGCTGCTTCGGACACTACTCCGCTCCCCCACCCCTACCCGACTAGGCACCAGGCTCGTGTTCGCCGTGCCCGTGACGAGCAGCTGGCGTTGGAGAGAGAGGAGAGGGAGTTACAGCGGCTGGCGGAGCAGCAGCAGCAGCTGGACCCGCAGGAGCAGCAGTCCCAGCAGCAGCCGCGTCCGCAGCAGCAGCAGTCGCAGCAGCAGCAGCAGCAGCCACTTCCTCCTCCTGTCTCGGGTCTTCGGGCCCTTGGTCTCCCCTCCCCTTCTCCTCCCTCCTCCGCCTCTCCTCCTGTCTACGGTCCCACGTTTCCTCCGCCTGACTCCTCCCCCGCTGTTTTCTCCAGTTCTCCGCCTTTGTCCTCTCCTCCTCCGTCTCGTTCTTGGGCTACTCGTCGCTCCCCTCGTGCTCGTCCCTCGTCTCCTGTTCCCTTCACTGACCTTCGTACTGCCTTACTTTGTTCTAGTCCACCTCGTCCGTCTCAGTCTGTGCTTCCGTCTCCTCCTGAGTCGGCCCTCACCGTGTCGCTCCCTGCTCCTGTCACTGACTACTACCGCACGTACCGTCCTGTTCTCTCTCGTGTTCTCGCCTCTCTTGTTACTCACCCTCGTGCCTCTGTGTCCTCTGTGTCCGCTCTTACTGCCGCCGTTACTGACTTTGCCTCTACCCGTCGCCTTGACTACGCCACCACGCTTGTGGCTGCTCCTCCTACCAGTCCTCTGGCCGTCGGGGGTGTGTCTGCCCTTGGCTGTGACGCCCTAGAGGACAGGCAGTTTGAGCTAGAGTTCCTGGCGGCCGCTTCCCCTCATCTCTGTGCCATGCTCCTCGCCCCTGAGGGTGACCCCGACGCCCTTGACATTCCGACTCCTCGCACTTACGCTGAGGCAGTGTCAGGGCCTTGGGCCTCTCAGTGGAGAGCTGCCATGGACGCAGAGATGGCCTCCTACAGATCCACAGGCACCTACGTCGATGAGGTTCCCCCCCCTGGGGCGAACGTAGTCGACGGCATGTGGATCTACAGGGTGAAGCGGCCACCGGGATCTCCCCCGGTCTTCAAGGCGCGCTACGTGGCTAGAGGTTTCAGTCAGCGCGAGGGAGTTGACTTCTTTCAGACCTTCGCACCTACCCCGAAGATGACCACTCTTCGGGTGTTACTACACGTAGCAGCACAGAGAGACTACGAGTTACACTCTCTCGACTTCTCCACTGCTTTCCTTCAGGGCAGCCTACACGAGGAGGTCTGGTTACGTCGTCCCTCGGCCTTCACTGGCACTTTCCCTCCTGGGACCCAGTGGAGGCTGAGGCGACCTGTTTACGGTCTTCGCTAGGCCCCTCGTGAGTGGCACGACACTCTGCGTTCTACCCTCTCTGACCTTGGGTTCCAGCCGTCTTCTGCCGACCCGTCGCTGTTCGTTCGTCGTGGCTCCACACCGTTCTTTGTTCTGGTCTACGTCGACGACCTCGTTTTCGCCACTCCGGACAGGGTTGCTTTGGCAGACGTGAAGTCCGAACTGCAGAAGAGACACACGTGCACTGATCTTGGTGAGCTGCGCCACTACCTTGGCCTGCAGATCACCAGGGACAGAGCCGCTCGCACCATTACACTCTCACAGTCACACATGGTGCAGCAGGTCCTTCAGCGGTTCGGGCTTCAGCACTCCACCGTACAGCGCACACCTCTCGCTGTTGACCACAGACTCACTGGTCCCTTTCCTGACGAGCCGTTTGAGCCTAGTGGTCCCTACGCAGAGCTTGTGGGTTGCCTCATGTACCTTATGACTTGTACTCGCCCGGACCTCGCCTTCCCTCTCAGCATCCTTGCGCGCTTTGTTGCGCCAGGGAGACACCGTCCTGTTCACTGGACGGCAGCTGTGAGGGTGGCGAAGTACCTAGCGACTACATCAGGCGTGGGGCTAGTTCTTGGAGGGCAGCAGTCTGTCGTACTCACTGGTCACTGTGACTCCTCTTACGCTGACGACGCTGAGACTCACAGGTCTACTCAGGGGTACTGTTTCAGTCTGGGTTCTGGAGCTGTTTCCTGGCATTCCACGCGCTCCTTTTCTATCTCGACCTCTACAGCTGAGGCTGAGATTTACGCTGGTGCCATGGCGGCACAGGAGTTGCGGTGGTTGACCTTCTTGCTCGCCGACCTTGGTGAGCGGCCGAGCTCTGCACCGACCTTGTTTAGTGACAACAAGGCGTCGATCCTCCTCTGTCGTGAGCCGCGACTGGAGAGCAGAGTGAAGCACATTCACGTCAGGTACTTTCTTCTGCGAGAGTTGCAGAGACGTGGACAGGCTCGCTTCGAGCTCGTAGAGTCCGAGGCCAACACTGCAGACATCTTCACCAAGGCGCTTCCGCCTTGTGACCACCAGAGGTGTTGTGTGCAGTTAGGCCTTGTTGACACAGGTTCTAGTCATGTGTAGACTTGAGTTTATTGCCTGCTTCGTCTGTACACTTGCTATATATACTTGTGATCTCTTGGACTGGCCTTGTGGCCACTGTTGCTTGTGCTCAGAGTGTGTGGTGACGTTGTGATCTACCCTGAGCTTTGTTTTCTTTTGGACTGGTCTTGTGACCGTACTCTTTTTGATTTTGCTAGACACCCCTCACTTAGGCTATGGGGGTGTGTCAAATGTTGTAGCCTGTAGTGAGGTTTGTCTTAGGGGGTACAGAAGTTAGGGTTTGTTATATGTACCCCAACCAACATCAATGGAACATTCATTCCTCATTCTGACAACCATGCCCTGTCAGAGTGGACCACGGGAGGTGAGGAGAGAGGAGCACCCCACCTGTCAGGGGGGAGCACGGGAGGTGAGGAGAGAGGAGCACCCCCCTGTCAGAGGGGAGCACGGGAGGTGAGGAGAGAGGAGCGTCCCACATTCCAGAGTGGAGCACGGGAGGCGAGAGGAGAGGAGCACCATGCCCTGTTAGAGTGGACCACGGGAGGTGAGGAGAGAGGAGCACCCCACCTGTCAGAGGGGAGCACGGGAGGTGAGGAGAGAGGAGCGTCCCACATTCCAGAGTGGAGCACGGGAGGCGAGAGGGCCTGCACCGAGGGCTTGTGAGGGACTGCAAGGTGGGGAAACGTGGGCAAGCAGGGTGGGAAATGAGGGCGTGGAAGAGGGGGAAAGAGGGCGTGCAGAGGGGATGCGGAAGCACAGCCGTTGCAAGAGTGTGAGCAGGGGCCAAGGGCAATATTTGCGATCAGCGACGCGAACAGAGGCTGTCGCGAGACGAAGAGAGGCAGTGAGGAGACGGGAGGTGAAGCCCCTCACGCATCTTAGAGGGGCACGCATGGGGAGGCGAGAGGGGCACGCAAGATGAGGAGAGAGGAGCACGCGTGGGGGGGCGAGAGGAGCACACAAGGTGAGGTGAGAGGACCACGCGAGGGGAGGCGAGTGGAGCACGCGCAGGGAGGTGAGAGGAGGCTGCACGGGGAGGCAAGAGGGGCGGTAGAGGGGGGGTGAGAGGTGCACACGAGGGGAGGCGAGAGGAGTTAGCGCGGGGAGGCGAGAGAAGCACGCGTGAGGCGGCGAGAGGAGGATGCGCGGGGAGGTGAGAGGAGGCCGCGCGGGGAGGCAAGTGAAGCGCGCGCTATAAAGGCTCGCCTCTCATGCGAGGGGAGGCGAGAAAAGCACGCGCGGGTTGGTGAGAGGAGGCCACGCGGGGAGGCGACAGAATCGCGCGCTATCAAGGCGAGAGGAGCACGCGAGGCCATGGCGAGCGGAGCACGCTGGCGATGGTGAGAGGAGGCCGCGCGGGGAGGCGGGAAGATGCGGCGCTGGAGGCAAAAGGAGCGCGCGCGGGGAGGCATCTGAGTTTGATTCGTGATATTTCGCTACCTTGCCAGGTCAGTTGGCACGACGCTGAATTCATTGAACGCAACCTCGCGTTCTCATCGCGAAACCAAAAGCCAGTCAGGCCAGCAATAGCAGCAAGGACGAAAAAGATTCCCGTTAGCAGAGGTAGCCTCGTAGTACTAGAGGCTTCCAGACCAGGGTGATACGGAAGGTAATGAAATATATCGAACGAACCGTACATCTTAGGAAAACAAACCTAGTAGGTAATGAAATATACAGTACATTGACTAAATTAGCAGACCACCAATTCACAGCCCAATTCACAGCCCACCGAATCGCAGCCCACCAGGGGAACGACGGAGTACGTCCGTTACGATCACATACGAACTAGCGAAAAATCGCGAATTTAGTTGAGGGGCTCCATGGGGAAGTTCTCGACGGGGCTCAGCTGCTTGGCGCGGTGGTACTCGGTGTACGCGCAGTCAACGGACAGCACGGAGCTGGACTCGTACATACGGGGAGTGCCGTCCAGGAACCCGGCGCCCTCCGTGCTTTCTGCTGAGATCGGACGGTGCAGGGTCGCGATCATCTTCTGGAAGTCGGCGGCGCGCGCAGCGTGGTCGGGGCGGTACGTCTGGCCGAGCACGCCGTGCACGTCGTCGGTATGCTCCATCTCCACGATCCCGACATTAATGTGCGCCTCGGCCTCGGTGGGCGTCTGCAGCTTGGGGTTGGCGACACGCAGACGCAGGTCGAGCGTCACAAGCCCGTCGATGACGAGCGTGTAGTAGTCCACGTCATACGTTCCCTCCTTCTCCAGAGCCGCGAATCGCAGAATCAGACCGCCCTCGGTTGTCACCTCGTCACCCACGTTCATCCTCGGGATCTCCTCGCCGTCGATCTCGATCGTCTTCATGAACCCATCACCGCGCTCCTGCTGCTTGCCAGAGCGCGCCGCCAGCCGCACCTTGTGGTCGGCGCCGTTGGCGAACCACACGATGCCGAGCTCCTTGATCCACGTGTGCACGGCCTTGCCGTCCACAACGAGCGCCGCATTCTCCGTGTCGTCCGAATAGTACCCGCGCAGCAGCATGTTCACGTGCAGGTCCTTGTCCGTCAGCAGGCAGAACGCCTTGTCGGGGCGCCCGTTGAAATCGAAGTGCGTCCCGAACGCGCCCACCAGATGCGGGTCGTCCTTGATGTGTCCCGCGGGGTTGCACTCGCCGCCCGTGCGCACCTGCAGATGAACCGGCTTCGAGTCCGTCGCGTACTGCGCCGTCAGCTCTCCGCACGTATAGTCGATGTTGTCGTGCACCAGGTAGCACGCGCCCTCCGTCTTCTTGCCGTCGATCGTGATGTCGGGGATGTACTGCCAGTATGTGCACCCAGCGTATCCCGCACACGTGTTGCAGCACGTCTGCGGGGACGCCTTCTTGAGCGTGAGAGGGTTGCCCTTCACATACACCTCCACACCCAGTTTGTTCTTGAGCAGGTTCGACGTCTTCCACTTGGCGGCGATGCCGCCCTTGCTGCAGTTGGCGGGCGTGCACGCGCCGTCCCCGGGCTTGCCCAGGTCCTTGTGGCACTTCATCTTGTTCCATCCTGCCACTTTCACGTCCACCATCAGCATACTGTCCGTACTCGTGCTCACAATGGTCGTGCCCTCATACTTGTCAAGCCCGCCGGCGGCTGCCGCCTTCTCAATGCCAGGAGGGACCTCCGTAGCCACGCCATTCGCGCCCTTTGCATTGTCCAGGTTGACCGGGGGGTTGTTGGGTCCCGTCACGACGGATTGTCCTGCGGACGCCACCGCCAGCAGGACGGCGAACGACACGACGAACAGTAGGCGTGCCATTGTGATCACTACGTCTAGGAATCAAACCTGCGAGCAAGTTTCGCAGGTAAGTTTGAACGTTTACTCAGAAGAACACCGCCGCCTTTTCTCCTTAACAGAGTTTATTAGTTGAGAAGATGGGAGCACTCCTATTTGTGCCTCGCGGATGCGGTCGATTGGCTCGGCCGTTGAACTCCAGGTTTCCGAAGTTTGGAAGATTGTTGCGAGTCGTGCCGCAGGGAGGTTGAAACCAGGTTTGGCTCAGGAGAGACTTTTCTAACTGTACATTCAATCTGAATTGAACAAGCGCTCCGGCTTCCCCAGATTTGAGCTGGCTCAGGATGTATCAGGTCACTTTCCGTACCTGCCTGTGTGGGCTACGAAGCGCAGGGGCCCTCCTGCCAGGATGGTTAACAAGCGCACAGTTCTCACCTGAACCAGGTAGTACACTGCAGGTGCTTCTCGAGGCAGGTGGCGTTATTTCTTAGTGTGTGTGACCCCTTTACAAACGACTTCTCCGTCCCGGAAGGCTTGCACAAATCAGGGAGAATACTCCTGATGCCTGTTTGAGCCCCTCCCGGTTGCCTTGTGAAGGGGGCAAAAAAGCTGTATCGTGCGTTTCGCATAAGTTCGTCAATTTCGCAGCTAGCTAAAAAGAATTCGCATGTGCTTATAAACAAGACCCTGCTACCTAGTTACCTAGTTTGACTTCAGTCTCTTCTGCTTGACTTCGGTCTCTTCTGCTTGACGCGCTTGTAATGTGGGTGCATGAAGCTGGGGAAACAACCTCGGGTGCAGCGTGTCCATCCGGCGCAAGGCAAATTCGCGCGCATGGGGTGAGCAACAGCTGTAATACCTTGTGTAAGGAAAATTCCTTTTCCTTACTTTGCGTCCCCACTCAGCGCGTACACCACTGTAGCACCACAGTCAGCACCGTTACCACTCGCAACCCTCGCATCGACAATCCTCCCGCCACCTTTGCACGTCGCACCCCGACCTCACGGCTCGGCGGGTAACCCGCGCTCCGGGCCTCCGCTTCGACATTTTCCCCAACCTCAGTCCGAGGCCCGTCGCGCGACAACCACAGTCCATTACCGTTACCACTGTAGTTTCGCTATATATTCTTCACTCATTTTACTTTTGCTTCGATAGTGCAATTCTCGTTCGTTCACTCGATTGCACTCGTAACACTTGGTATTCAGAGCCTACGATCTCTTCTCGGACCGCACCCACACCTTCGCTTCCCCACTATCTCGATTTTTTTTTGGGGGGGGGGGGGGGGGGGGGGGGGTTGACGTCTCTCAGCGACACAGCACCGCCACTCGTAGTGCTCTCTCGTAAGCACGCACGGCCACGACCAAGGCTCTCGCTAAGCTCGCCCGACACCCCCGCCATGGCCGAATTCACGCTCGCAACATTGACGTAGGAGCAGCTCGACCGTCTGGTGCGCCAACTTGAAGATTCGGCGCTCGAAATTGAGACGCTCACGGCGGAACGTGACTCCGCGCGTCAGCAATTAACAGTGAACACTCCAGCGCCACCACACGCACCGACAAATGCATGTGCACAATCGGACGAGCCGATCGTCATTTCGTCCAGCACACCAACACAAAACAACAGCGTGGGACAGCGCTCACGCGCAGCCAGTGATGGCACTGTCACAATGTTATCTTATGCTCTAGCCTGTAGTGGGGTGCTCTATAGCGAGTACAACCCTTCTAGGGTTTGCTATTTGTATCCCCATTCTTGCTAGTGCAACCCTCTTCTTTTTTTCTAAACTTTAACATGCTATCAGAGCAGGTCGATCCCATTGGATCGATCCTGTGGGTGGGTTACCACCTCCTCGCTTCCGCTGCAACTTTTTCTTCCCGCCGTGCGCCCCGAGGCGCGCGGCGGTTTTCTGCCCGCCGTGCGCCCCGAGGCGCGCGGCGGTTTTCTGCCCGTCGTGCACCCCGAGGCGCGAGGCGGTTTTCTGCCCGTCGTGTGCCCCGAGGCGCGCGGCGGTTCTCTGCCCGCTGTGCGCCCCGAGGCGCGCGGCGGGCTTCTGCCCCGTCGTTCGCCGCGTCGCCCTCTGGTGGCGCCGCGACGGGCGACGGGGACCCGTCGCGGCCCCGCCGACCCACTTCGCGGCCCCGCTGCCCCATTTCGCGGCCCCGCCACCCTACGTTCGCGGCCCCGCCGCCCCACTTCGGGGCCCCGCCGCCCTTCTGTCGCGGCCCCGCCGCCCCAACTTCGCGGCCCGGCCGCCCTACACCTGCGGCCCCGCCGCCCTACTTGCGCCCCGGCCCCTTTTCCCGTCGCCTGTCGAGGCGACCCTCGGGGGCCGCTTGCGGGGGAGCGCCGCCATCCCACCCTGCCTACCCGCCATCCCACCCTGCCTGTGTTAGGGTTTGGGGGTGGCAAGTAGGGGGTGGCGCGTATGGGGGTGGCACTTCTTCATTCCTCCCTTTGCTCCTCCTCCTCCTTCGTCTCCCACTACTGCAGCTGTCGCTGAGGGGGGTGGATGTGTGGGAGACTGGGGTTTAGGATTTAAGGGGGGTGCGTGGGAGTGGAGCTAGCGGTGTAGCAGCGGGTGTGTGCCAGGGGGAGTGGGATAGTTTGGGGAAGCTGCATGGAGGTTGCCGTCGTGTCGCCAGCAGCACTTGTATTCCGGGGACTTCGCCCGGTAGCCCAGTCGTAGCCAGCTGTGCCAGCCGCCCGTGGGTCCGTTGCTCGTCTGCCGCTACTTTAGCCGCGGGGCCAGTTACTCCAGTATTCCGGGGGCTTCGCCCGGTAGCCGCTGTGCCAGTCTGCCTCCTGTTGCCCGTGTGTCTGCAGCTTCAGCCGTCGCCTCCTATCTCCTCTCCTCTCACTCTCTCTCCTCCTCCTCACTTGCCCGTTGTGACTACCACTAGCTTTGCTCATAATTGTGAACTTAAACTATTGCTTCTTGAACTTGTGCTCAGAATGTGTGGTGAAATTATGATCCACCCTGAGCTTGTATTGCTTTGCTTGCTCTGCTGATTACACCCCACTTTGGCTATGGGGGTGTGTCAGAATGTTATCTTATGCTCTAGCCTGTAGTGGGGTGCTCTATAGCGAGTACAACCCTTCTAGGGTTTGCTATTTGTATCCCCATTCTTGCTAGTGCAACCCTCTTCTCTTTTTCTAAACTTTAACAGGCACCGCCCAGCCGATGCCTGGCATGGGAGGAAACAAGGTCGCACCAAGCCCGCGGGAGCCTCGTGAAGCCCGTCGGCACGTGGAGTTCGCGGCGACAAGTGGCGAACAGGCCATTATGGCGCCAATGCCACTCAAGCCGCAACGACCGCCTTGCTTCGACCCGAGCCAGCGTGGAGGCCCAACGGTTCAGTCGTGGGTCTTCACGATGAACGTCTTCTCCGACGCGAATTACGTCGAGTCAGACGCAACGAAGATTCGATATGCCGTTTCGCTACTCAGGGGCCCCGCCTCGGTGGCGAGTCATCGTGACGTCGCCACGCGCCTATGAGCCACGGTCGCAAGAGGAAGGGCCCACGGTGTGAGAATCGAAACGAGAATGAATGAACTATGAAACAGTTGGGTACAAGTACTAACCCTAATTGGGTTGTACCCCATATGGGCTACCCCACTACAGCCTACACAAAAGCATAAGCTATAATGTTCTGACACACCCCCATAGGCAAAGTGGGGGAGAACAAGCGGTCACAAGACCAGTCAAGCAAAGCAAAGCAAAGCAAGCTCAGGGTGGATCACAAAGTCACCACACATTCCGAGCACAAGTTCAAGGCCACAAGGCCAGCTCACATGCAGGAGTACATATATATATAGAAAGCTAGACAAGCAAGAGCAGATGTATATATATGTAACAGTACAAGCAAGGTCAAGAGGTGAGCAAGTGAGGCAAGACAGGCACAAGACCAAGCTGAGTACAGAAGCACGGATGATCACAAGGCGCAAGTGCCTTGGTGAAGATATAAGCAGTGTTGGCCTCAGAGGCCACGTACGCAAGACGCAGCTGACCACGCTGCTGCAGCTCACGAGCAAGGAAGTAGCGAAGAGCAATGTGCTTCGTTATGTGGTCCAGTCTCTGCTCTCGACACAGGGCCAGCATGGCCTTGTTGTCTATGACAGCATTGGAGGAGAACAAGGCACCTCTCCAAAGTCAGTCAGAAGGTAGGTGAGCCAGCGAAGCTCCTGTGCAGCCATGGCCCCGGCGTAGATCTCAGCCTCACAACTGGAGCCGAGAACAGAAGACGAGCGGGTAGCCCGCCACGAAACAGAGCCGGAACCAAGGCTGATGGTGTAACCCTGTAAACGACCGCTGCGTAGCCTGGTCGTCAGCCCAAGAAGCGTCCGCGTGCCCAGTGAGGACCACTGGACTCCGCCCTCCAAGCACTAGCCCCATGCCCGACGTACTGCACAAGTAGCGCAACACCCTCTTCGCTGCAGCCATGTGCTCTGGTCTGTGTCTCCCAGGAGCAACATAGCGTGCCAAGATGCTAAGAGGGTATGCAAGGTCAGGTCGAGTGCAGGTCATCAGGTACATGAGGCAGCCAACAAGCTCTGGGTACGGGCCACTCGACTCTACGGACTCATCCGAAGGCAGAGCTGAGAGCGAGTGGCGAGTAGACAGAGGAGTGGCCTGAGGCGAGGAGTACGTGAAGCCGAAGCGCTGAAGGACTTGCTGCACCATGTGTGAGTGAGTCAGGGTAATGGTGCGGCGTGCTCTGTCCCGGGTGATCTGCAAGCCAAGGTAGCTGCGCAGTTCACCCAGGTCTGTGCACGTGTGTCTCTTCAGCAGCTCGGACTTCACGTGGGCGAGTCCAGCAGTGTCAGCTGTGGCAAAGACCAAGTCGTCGACGTACACGAGGATGTAGAACGGCGGCAGAGAGGTGTCGGTGTGTAGAAACAGCGACGGGTCAGCAGTAGAGGGAGCAAACCTAAGAGCCGCAAGTGTAGTCCTTAGTGTGTCGTGCCACTCGCGCGGTGCCTGGCGGAGACCGTAGACTGGCCGTCGGAGGCTCCACTAGGTGCCAGGA